AGGCAGTAAAGATGGACCCACAGTTTTTTTGGAAGTACCACTAAATTACTTAAGGGAAAAAAAAATTTTGGTTATAAACCTCATGAATTCGATCATTTTAGTCCCTATTCTGTAAAAAATGAGGGTCTCTTCTGTCCAACAGTAACAGAGCAGAGACACAGCAATTGTGTGCTAAGAAAGAAAGAAGTTTCTGTTTCTGAGAAGTGTCAAGAATCAACACTTTCCCAATTTTATGCCATGTCCAGGCCAAGGATGTTACCAATAGGATTACTGTCACAGCCCCAGCAGTCACTGAGCCACCTGAATATTCAGAACTCTGATAGAGGTCACCTCTGTGCTGCTCTTTCAGAGCTCCTTTAACTGTCCCATTTCTTCCTCCCACAATACCAATGTCTATGTAATAATAAGAAAAAATTAATATATATAGCCCAAATTTTTTTTTAAGATCAGTTATTACTGTTAATTTAAATGGTGGTTAACAGATCTGGTTTTCATATTACAGAAACAGTGATATAATGTCACTGATAACCCAGGCAACACCAGTATCAACAGTGAAAATATATTACATGGGAAAAAAACAAAGCATTTACCAGCTGTCCTTGGCTAAAGGCTGGCACACCATGTCATGCTTGATTGCAATGTTACATCAGCTTTTTAAATGCTAATCAAAACCTGCACTGCAGAGAGCTCCAACCCCCTACACCACCTGATTTCTCTACTGGAGGAGAAAAGATACCATCATCCAAAAATCCAAGGGGAGTGTTTTTCCTTCTTGAATCCAAGCAGCTCTAGCCTTCCTGGCAATTTGATATTTTACCTGAATTCAGTGGGTTTTGTCCCGTTAAAATGGCACAGTATGAAAGATAGAAAATACTGATATTATTAATAATATATTTAATTTTATCTCAGAGTAAGAACTATGAAATGGAAATGAATCAATGGACGCAGTAGGATGTCAATAATCTTAGTAATGAGAAACATGAGAGCACCAATGAAATAGGCATTTTAAAAATGGGGCCTCCCAGTATTCAGGCACAGGTTCTTTAAATTTCTATAAATGTCCAGTGCAATTAAAAAAAAAACCTTCTGGAAAAGGCAAATGGTGCTACTCCTTGAATAGAAAAGGAAATGAGCCACAGATAAAGACTGGAAATAATTTCCAAGCCTTACCATAAACCCCTTGAGAACAGCAGCCAAGTATCAGACAAAAGTAGGTTGTTCTGTATCCTAGCAAACTGGTGTATTAATTTACGATTTCCTTTTCAGGAGAAAATTGAAAGAGTTCAGGAACAGTGACAGGAACATTGAGTCTCCTGGAAGTCAAGGCTGACCTGACTGTTCAGAAAAATGCTTTGATCACTCTAAGTAAAGATCAGAAATCCTGTCCCAAGTGTCATAACAGGCTTAAAGATAGAATTTTAGAAATTGGGAGATCACCTAATAATAAATACAGTAACAAAGCTAAAGGTAAACTATGAGAAGCTGAAAAAGAAATGGGAATCACAAACTTCCCCGCTGGCAAGTGATGTGTATAAAGAGACAGGATGGGCAGGAGATAGAGGGAAGGCTGGCAACAGGCAGGGCATTAGAGGGAACATCACTGCACCATCACAGATAAATCTTAGCAATGTTGTAACAACAGCACTTGCAATTTCTGTCCTTCTTAAATGATTATGGACACTGCTTGCATCTCCTAATTAGTAGGATTTAGTAGTTGGTGAACTTGATGACCTTAAAAGATCTTTTCCAACCTAAATGATTCTACAATTTGTTATAAATTCAATTGCCAGCATTCATTCACTCACTGCACCCTGAACTTGCCTTGGGTCTTCTGAGCCCTGGTCCTGGCAATTTAAGCATCAAATTCCCTACTTGCTGATGAAGTTAAGCCCTCAAGAACAGTGGATGCACCTGTAATCTTTCAGGTCAGAATGTAAATTGATTTTTTTTTTTAGTAAAACAGATAATGCTAATATATACTGCGTGCCTTATCTTAAACAACAAAAAATCCACAACAAAACACCACAAACCTCCCCCCAACAAAAAAAAAAAGCCAGAATATTTTTTCCAGTATTTTATTACATAAAAAGTTGATTGTCCATTGGAAAGTTTTCACAAAGTGCAACCACATCTTGTGTAGTATCATTGCCAAACTATTGGGTTTTTTTCTGAGAAGGACAGCTGTGTTAAAAATATAACAGTAACTTAGAAAAGTTAGTTATGGCACTAAACAGACAAACCAATAAGCTATGGGGGAGAAAGCCAGCAGACACTTAGCTGTCATGAAAACAGGTGATTTTCCATGTACCTCTTTACAGAACTGAAATAAAAAGGAAATAGTAAGAGCTATAATTACCACCCTACCTGTTGAAATTAGTTCTAAAGGAGGTATCTGAATGTCCTGTATGTAGAACCAAAAAAATGTTATTGAAAGCCTGATAAGACTCCAATGAAGAATCCATCTTCTGAGGTACTTATAGAACGTTGGTGACCTTAAGTAACTTTTTGAAGACGTTTATTTTTATATATACATATATTTATGTGCATGATAGCGTTTGGGCTTCTTAAATCATCACCAAATAAAATTTGCTTACGTAACACTGTACCAGGACAAGTACAGGGGTCTCAAAGACTTTGCCAGTTTCAAAAGGCAATTTAAGTTGTTTTGGAGTAATGAACTGTGATACCAGAGAAAGACTGGCTGGTAAAGCAGTTCCTGCCACAGTGCCACATTATACTTAATAGTGTATTTCAGTATGTGTTGAGTGTAAAGCATGAAAAAGGGAGAAGAAAAATGGAAGACAAAAAAATCTACTTGAAGGCAGCATTTTGTATTTTATATCAAAAAGCAACTGCCAAGTCATCATACCTATTAAAAACCTAAAAAAAAACCCAAACAAAGAAAAACCCAAACAAACCTAAACACTTTGAAATTTTAATAAGCTACGTGGCACAAGACGTACCTGCATTTGGCATAGGCAACTTAATGACTCAGAAACAATCAAACAAAAAAACCTGGTCAAGTGCCTGGTTGAATTTTGACAAAGCTCCTTTTAACTACAAAGGGGAAAACCCCAACCTACTGTAAATGTAGATTCTCAAAAGCTGGGCTATAGCTATAATGCAGTAATTGTTTCTCAAACATTTTCAAACCCAATTTGTCAAAAAAAAAAAAATCACGTTTATGTTTTGTAACACGAGAACTACAAAAACTGCATTTTCAGTGTTTTTGATCAAAATCTGAACTGTCATCTCTATACTACAGATTTAAGTTGTAAAAAGAAAAAACTCATTAATATTTAATTTTTATAGTTTCATCTCACCTCTGTTCTTCTCTTGAGATGAGAAGCAATACTGTTTAAAAAGGGTGGTGCAAACCCAGAATAGGTGACTAAATCATAAATTAGTTATGAACAAGAAATGGACTGCACATCTCTCCTACCCAAATGTCTACTGAGACTGTTCTCAACTCTGCTGCACATCTGGATTAACAGCAGAATATAAAAAGTAATACAGTTAATCCTGAAGAAACACGATTTTAATTTTTCCATTCAAACAGGCACAGACCTATTTAATGAAGTGCAGCTGGAAAAGTTTCTTTAATCTTAAATACACACAAATATAATTAAGATTAAATAAAATGGGTCACCCGGAACCTTCATCAGCATCATTTAGTCCTTACATACAGAAACCAAAAATGAGTTAGTCTGTCCCTGGAATACCTAACCAAATGCAGAATTATTTAAAAGGTTTACTACTCTGTGAAACAATAAGTTTAGTGACATCTTTTATTTTACAACAAACACAGTTTCGTACTTTTGAGACTGAAGTATTCCACAAGGTCAACCATTATGGTTCAATAGGACCTTTTATCCAAAACACTTGGATTTTAGCACCTTAAATAAAGGGTTAAAGTAACATCTTACTAGCATCGAATGAAGACAGTTAATACTGTGCTCATCCTCTGGAAAATTATGTGGACCATACTACTAGGTGCATTTAGTCCCTAACAGAGAGTAAGGCAGAAGGGAAACAATTCTAAGCAATGCATTTGACTGAATACATTCTGAATAACAACATAACCTTCCCAATTATATAAAGTATTTGCTCCCATACATCAAACTTCATAGTATTCAAATCGAGTGGTCATTTACAATCAACCACATCATCAGGAATTTGTAACAAAAAAAAAAAAACCAACCCCAAATCTGGTTATTAAGCATCAGTAAGTGATATGTCTAACTAAAAGTTTAACTCTGTATTGTGACTAGTGCTTTTTCAAATATTTAAACAAACCGTTAAATCAATAAACCCAATTAACTTCAGAGTTAAAGCTATTTCTTCTCACTCACCACCTGGATAATGGGGCACACATAACATTTGCTTCCACAGGCACAGTTCTGAATGCCCCGAATTTGGCTTTTCCTTTCACCCCAATACTGCTCATGCAGGTGCTGTAATTCCATTAACTTCTGAAGGGCACAGAATCTCCTTTCTGCAGGGATTTGGAGTGCATTAGCTGAGTACCTGCCTAGCTTCTACCACGCTCCTTAGCACTTCCAAGGATTTCTTGGAACAGAACAGGTTAAGTTTATTTTAAATAAACAAGCAGTCTAACCAGACATGTCCTAAACCCTGTAATTTCAGGCATCTTTGGCCACTGTAACACTGTTCTTTGCAACTTTGGGAGTTTTGCACCAGCTGAGTCTGTCAAACTGGCTTCCAAGAGAATCCTTTCGCACTGCACTTGGCTGTCTCACAGCAGCTGTGAATCAATGACCAACCTGCACATCCAAGATGGATATCTACAGATGAACATCAGTGTATTCTGAGACCATAATTCTTCTTTTTCACTTAAATTAAGTTTGATGTTAGACACACAGATTTGTAAGTTAATTTTAAACAACAAAAAAAGCATAAAAAAATTACAAACTAAAGTAGTCAATTGCCGGTATGAAGTGTCATCTTTCCTGTAACTAAACAAATGGCCAACAGTAAGGAGTAAACTGGTGAATTTCAACACAAAAATTTAAACCTCAGTAGTCTCTGCTTCCTCCCCTCCACCCCCAAAAACCCAGGACTCATAAGGAGATTCCCTTCAAGGAGCAGCAGAGCAGGGTTCAGTCTGGGTAACGCGTCCGTCATAGCTCCTCTCTCTGTTTGGTCGCTCGGTTGTCCTCTTTAATGCCATTAGATTTCTTCTCTGCATCTTTTTTCTTCTTTGCTTTTTCAGGTTTCGTTTTGTTTTTCCCTTTCTCATTTTCATCTGCTCCTTTGCCAGGATAAACTTGACCTTCCAGAGTGACATCCGCACACCTTTCTTGATTTATCAGGAAGTCTTTGATCTCCCAGGCATAGCCACCATCACGGAGCATAAAGATGGCCCGATTGGAGCCAACAATAAACCTAGAGGAAAGACCCATATCTTTTTCAGTTAACTCTGTGCTTTTCAAATACTACAGCATTTGCTTAATTCAGAGCACCTCCACAACTGAGGCACACATTTAAGAGAAAGATGCTGGTCTTGTTGTTGCCTGGGGATGGGGACAAGAGAACAATCTTCTAGGATGTTTAAGAATGAATTGTATTAGTTTATAAGGAGGCAAGAATATGAAGAAAACTTAAGAACTAATTTGGGACTAGTAAAATCTATTAATAAGCACTAAATTTGCCTTATACACTTTCTGCAATCCTTCTCAGCCTCAATACAAGAGCGCAACATTCTCCTGTTTCAAAATGATCCCCTCTGTCTGAGAGAAAAAAAAGTCACATTTTTTAGCCAGGGGAACAAAAGGCCTTTTGTGGTGACAAGTCTTCTGAGTGTGATGTTTTCCACAATGCACATTAAGGCAAACTACTGCAGCTAAAATTGATAACTAGCTGAAAAGTAATGAAATAAAAAGAATCCAGGCTATATATACACACACCACGTGTAAGCACTGAAAAGATTTGTGCACCACACCAGTGGTTTTGTAGCCTGACTTGAAACAAATTTGAATATAAAGTGATACAGAAACAAATAAATAGTAAGGGATTAGGGAGGGGGGGAATGACACAGGATGAACCGTTCAAAAGGTTTTCAGGAAGAAAGAAACAAGAGTTCTGCAAAGGCAGGAACTTTATCCTTGTGTATCTCAGTTTACCTTTGCACGTCGTAGTTGGCATTGAAGAGGCCTCCCTGCCACAAGCTGGTAATTTCTTCTGTCTCCTTTTCTGTGGGATTTCCCGACACCGTGACAAACATCATCAAAGTCTTCCCCTTTTTTGTCAGCTTCAGGATGCTTTCAGGCTTGCCTGGATCAATTTTTGAGAAATCTATTGGTGCTGGAGGCCTCTTGTGTTCGGGGAGATCTCCCTCTTCGATGTCATCATCTTTCTGTTTTGAAAAGGACAAGGAGGCTTTAAATTAAGTTGTTCCAAAAGGATGTTCTTTTTTTTTTTTGAAATTTCTTTGTTTACAGAATAACTCTTTTTTGACAAAATATTTTTTAGTTTAATGGTGGAGATTTTAGAACCAAAAGAAACAGTGACTTTTGTCTCAGGAACTTCACCAGGAGTGCCATTTCCATTTATAACCCTCCCCTCAAAATGATACACATTTTTGTATTGACAGGTAGAATTTCATTTTACCATGTACTGAGAAATATTTCAGCCTCAAGGCTAATTCAATACAATTCCACCTAGGAAACTCATAAAATAACACTTTTTTTTCTTCACAGTTTCACAAAAATGTATTAAGTATATGAGATGAAATAAGAAAGTCACAATAAAAAACCCTCATACACACATAAACAAAAAATCATTCATCTGCATTTTGCTTTCAGAGGTCAAAACTCACCTCTGGGAATCATGCAATTGCTTGAGAATTTAATTTTCCTTTCTTTGTTTCTTTAAACAAATAAAACCACATGAATTCAGATTTTCAATGTTCATGCCACAGGAAGATTTTATTAAAGGTTTCATGACTTTTCTAATGCACAGATGCAGCTCACAGTCTGACAACATAATCACCAAGAATAAATCACTCTCACAAAAAAGAAAAGAAACCCCTCTTGATGGCTCTGCTGAGGCTGACAGGCATTTAAATATTTAGAAAGGCACAATTCAAACTGCTGCCCCTTGAAACAGCCCACAACAGAGGAGTGAATATAGTGACAACTTACATTAAGCCAGAACTTGATTTCTTAGACAGTGTTTGTATCATAGAATTAAAAAGCAAAAAATAGAACAGAAAAACCCAGAAGTCTTACACTGGCATCCACCCAAGCACTAGTAAATAAGCAGGAATTAAGGCAGATATTTTAGGTGTTGTCATGACTTCAAATACACATGACTGTTAGGAACATGAACTGCAGCAATATCTAAAGATATCCCCTTCAGAGGCCTCAAAGGTCAGGAGCCAAGCTTGATTTTTAGGACTTAGTATGCATTACCCTCACAAACCCAACATCATCATCCTCCTACAACACCCATGGAGCATCCCATAGCCTTTAAAGGTTAAAGTTTTATACAAGTGACTTACGTTCTTTCCCCATCTCATTTCCATAGAGTTTGTTGTCTTTCTGACAAGAGCGTCTAAAGTTTAGGTACCACCGAACAAAAGTTGTAGAAGCCTTAGATTTTATCCTTTCTTTCCTTACTAAATATCTGTTTCAATTTTCCAAGTCTGAAACGCCCTCAAGTAGTTCACATGCCTTTGAAATTTCCTTATTAAGTGAACTGGGAGGAAAGGAGAGCCCCAGGAAAGTCCCACTGCTCTCAGTAAGTGGGAACATGACTTATGTTGGAGGAAGCTGGAAAATGCTGAGATTGGTGAAGTACACTAAAAATATAAAATCTTACAGGATTGCATGAAAAACGTTCTTCAGAATTGAAAGCAAACTGATCCTTAATTTAGTCTGGTTTGGTTAGTGCAAAGCCAGCTTATTTCACAGTTTTGAAAGAGAAAGGCAGAAAGAAATGTTTCCAAATACTCCTTAAGCAATACAGAAACTGTATTTAGTGACAACACAACCTACTAACACATACCACCTACTTTTCCCTGAACTATTCAACTAAATGCTCCTAAAGCTGTATTATTACAGTTTGATTGGAACTATTATCAGAAGCTGTCAAAAGCTCCCTTACATGACAATTCTTCTCTGGATCTTGTACAAACTATCATGCAGTTTAGTGTTTATACAGCTATTTACAAAGTAAAAACCTGGAAGTGTAAGCTTTTCCTTTGAAAAGTCTAGCAGACTCATTCACTTAAACAGCAGCATGAGGTTCCAGAGGGAAAGCATTACAGACACAGTAATAATTACATATGCCTCCCCTTGCTTCTCCCCTCAGCTCCCCATTCTCATGCACTTCTCATAAATGCCCTGGATTTTTATATTTAAAAACATTAGCAACATATGTCACTTAATTCCTCCACCTATTCAATGACCTTAGCTCAGAGTCAAGCCTGAGAAACCCTGAGCTTATAACAACAATGAACTATTTAAAGCACGTGACCTTTCAGTAACAGAGAGACCTCCGGACCAGATTCTCAGTTCTGTTTCCAGCTCCCCAGGACTCAAAGCTTCTGGAGAGTCCCTTTCCATGAGGGAAATCCCTCAGTGCCTTCCTTCAAGCTCTAGTTGTGCAACTGAGCTGCTCTGCCTCTTTTCCCTGTTCCCTATGCTCATTTTCCACTAGATCACTCTCCTGGATCACCAGGCAGTCATGCACATGGTGCAAGGGGCAGCACGAGAGCCTGCACAGAGAGGTGGCTGCTCCTGCTGGGAAGGCTGCTGGAGACACAGCCTCACCAGGCTCATTCCCAAACCCAGGCATGTTATAGCCACCATCCTCCAGGGGTTTTAGATTAACTGCCTGAGAAATAAAAAATACTAGAAGTCATCTCACTCTACTGAACGGATTCTGTACAGTTCCATGCCCCGTGCCCCTCACTCCCGAGCATAATTCCTGCTCTTATCCAAATTCACAATGGCCCCTTTGTTTCTCATCCCACTCCATCAAGTGCACTCATGCCCTTTTTTCTCCTCTGTCCTCCAGCCACCACCCCCCTCAAGTCTTTCATGCTCCCTGTGCATCCTGACTCTCACCAGGCAAAATGCCATGCAGCTGACCATCCCGGAGACCAAACAGCCCTTAATTGTTGAGCCCTGCCTCAGTAATAACTCTGTTCCTTTGGGGCTCTGCTCTCTGTGTCTCTCCTCAGAGGCAACACCAGCCTGAGCAGCAACTCCACAGTCGCTCTGCCACATCTGCACACAACGTGGCCACAAGCATTTGTGCTGCACATGGTGGCCTGGATCAGAGACCTGCTCCAGCTGAAGAGGAAAAACCCTCAACAGCCTCCTGACCTGCGTGCCACAGGGCACAGACAAAAGTACAATCAGTCTCACAACAGCATTAACCTGAGCCTCCCTTTCATCCAGGCATCTCGCTCAAACTCAGAGATGCTCATCTTGTAAGATTTTTTCCTACAATGCCAAATTTGGTTGAAGTTGGGCAATATTATCATTTAAGCCCTGATTTTTTAGCAGCTAGGACTACCAGGTCCTTGGCTGATCCCAGTAACAGAAAGGGAAACTTTGAGGTTTTTTCTGATTTTATTTCAAATTTTAACTCAATTTTCTAAGAACCTCCCTTCCTAAAGGCAGATACACAGTAACAGTCCATGGGATGAACAAGTCCCCAACCTTCAAACCAGGACCAAGGCAAGCATCCTTACTTCTCACGGAAGTTACTTCAATTGTATTTCACGTTCAAAACCTACTTCTCCACCTTGACTTACAGCTGTAACTGGTGTTATTGGAAACAGAAGGTTTCACTCCATTATTTCCTTCAGTTTTTGTGCAACATATTCCATGAAAAAACCTCATGGGAAAGAGAAAATGACAGTGATGAGTGCTCTGGCATTTAACAGATGATGGAAGACAAAATAGTGAAAGGAACTGAACAGTAGCATGCCAACCACATGGAGAAGAGAGTGATGGGAAACCAAGGAAAGTTAAGGCAGTGGGATGATGGGGGTGAAGGAGGACTAAGAGAGCTGGAATGAGAAGCCTTTACTATGAGGAGCGATAAGGAAACCAACACAAACCAATACCACTACATATCTAATCACGTAAACGTGAAATGAATATTCCTCCTGGTATCCACCCCTCGGTCTCAAAATTAATAACCCTCAATACTCTAAAAACCCCTGTTTTTTAAGATGACCAGGCTGCTGGCGTGCACCGAGCGCCGGGAAGCGGGACAGGGCGGCAGGGCAGGCTGAGGGCAGCTCCCCCAGGACACGCGTCTGTGGCCCTCGCCCCGACTTTGCAACCCCCCCACACGGACCCAGAAGCTCGGAGGGAGCAAACCGCCACCTGCCACCCTGCACCGGGCCCGGGGATCCCTCCCTCCCGCCCTCCCGGTCACCACCAGGCCCTGCGGGACCGGGCAGCGCGGCCGCTCCAGCGCGGAGCTGCCCCGGCCCCGCTCCTCGGCTGCCGCGGGGCTCCCTCCGCGTGGTCCCGCCGCCGGTCCCGGCCCCTCCCGCACCTCCCACTGCTCCAGCAGCCGGGCCATGTCCGCGTCGTTGTAGTCCCGAATGTCCTTCTTCTTGGGCGGGCCCGCCCGCCGCTTCCCCTCGGGCCCTTCGGCCGCGGCCGCCGCGCTCACACACAGCGCCAGGGCCAGCAGCGCCCAGCCCGCGGCCGCCGCCATCTTCTGCCGCTGTCGGGAAGGCGGCCCCGGCCGCCTTATGGGCGGGGGCAGCGCGGCCGGGCCGGGAGGAGGAGCGGGGAAGGCGGCGGAGCGGGGCGGGCACGGCAGGGACGGGAGGCAGGGGCTCGGGATAGGAGGAGGCAGCGGCTGCCCCGCAGCGAGGGCGGCTCCCCGATGCTGAGGGGGACGGCGGGCACCCCCCCCCGCCTGGCCCGGGTGCCGCTGTCCCGGCACAAAGCGCCGCTCCCGGCGGTGCCGCCCCCGGGCGCGGCCCTGCAGGGAGCGAACGCCGGGCATTGTCGGGTTGAAACGAGTAAATAAATGATGGCCCAGCTCCTGGGATCTAAGCTTGAGATTGTTTCTTGTTGCCTTTTTTTTTTTTAGAGCAGGACGAAAAGTATCGTGTTGGCTAATCGATGTGATAAGAACCGGGCCTATCGCATGAGTCCTCTGATTTTGACTCGTGTCTCAGCAATACTAGGTTTAGAAAATTATTAAATTTAAAGCTGTTTTACAACTTCAGAACATCTGACCACCACAAAAAAATATAATAATATGGGTTCTTCTTTGTACAGACTATTTTTCCATTATCTCAACCAAATTATACGGATGGATGTCCACATAGCCTTGTTTCAGTCTTCAGTCTACTTTTTTTTGCCCACATGGGAGCTGTTTTAATTACAAATAGCACCGTCTTCTCTTCAGGCTTTCACCTTGGACTCCAAGAAGTTTAAACTTGGGAATTCAAGGAACCATCACTGTTACTGCTACTGGTACAGTTACTGACTACAATTTTATAGTCAGGCTGATTAAATGAACAGACCGTTCTTCCATTCCATCATCCAAGGTGGATCAGGTTCAGAGCAGAGGAACTAATTCTACTGAGCGAACAGTTCAACCCCAATTCTGTTGCTGTATATAGTCCTATAATCATAGAATGGTTTGGGCTGGAAGGGGCTTTGGAGATCATTTAGTTTCAACCCCAGATCATCTAATTGCGACCCTACAAGGAACCAGGAGCCCACTGCCCTTATGGGCACAATGTGCAAATACAAAATAAGAGCAGTCAGTAGGCAGGGGTGTGAGTTTGAGGAGGCTTTTCAAAGCCTGGACTAACTGTTGAAGTGATCAGACACCGAAGGGCCATGCGGCTTGTGAACGCCAGGGAGACACGGCCCATGAAGCAGCACCTTGCCAAGAGCACACACAGCATGAGAAACAGCACAGGAGGATGTGTGATCCCAGTTTCAGCACCCCCATAAACAACCAGCCTGGTCTGCAGCCTCCACGTGTTTTATAACATTTCAGAGACCAGTGCCCGAGGAACAGGAAGCAGTTAGCCCAGAGCTATTCATGGAGCTTGTTAAATGTACAGTAACTGAAACGGGGCTTAGACAGGGACCTCTCACAGAGCTGTCCAATACCTAAGGCACTAATGAGCACATCTGCTCGGTGATTTCTCATTAAATATAATGAATATCAGGTATACTATATCAGACTGCCTTGATTAATGAGGTTTTACTAAAATATGTTTCTGCTAACTTTTGTTATTACTGGATCATGTGTACGTTCACTGGAAAAAAATAAAGACTAAAGATTCAATCTTGGAATGCTGGACTTACCACATAAAATACTTTCAGTGCATTTCTACTAGGAAATACTTTCTCCAATTCTGTTTTTCTTATTAGAACAAACCAACCCAACTTACTTTCTTTAATATCTAATACTACATTCAGATATGGATCTCAAAAGTAATCCACTTTGCTCTGGTAGGTGAACAAGTTGTTAGGAATATCCAGCACCGCACCGAACAACACTATACATTTCCTTGTTGTGCACATAAAGCTTTAATTTGAAAGGGAAATATTTTCCATGCTTGACTCTGACCTTGCAACTTTCTCTGTTCAGGCAAAATTCTGTGTCCAGGAAGACTTGTTCAAAGTCTGCCCGTTGTGGGTTCAGCTGCAGGACAAACACCTGTTCAGCCTCTGTTCTCTGCTGTTCCTCTTTCCCATGCAGGAAACAAAAGCCATGGAGCATGTTATCACTGACAGGAGAAAATTAAATTGCATTTTCTTTTTATTGAAGCACATTGTGTTTTGATCAGAGCATCTACAGAATCATACAAATATGCTTTTTATAGCTTAAGCGTTTTCATATCCCTTAACAGTTTTTATGGTCCTAGCAGCTAACACTATTATGATTGCAATACAGAACACATCCAATAATAGATGGCTACTTTCATTGTAGATTGCAAAAATAATGTGTATAATGCTTTATCTTGTAGCCTAAAGTCCCATCTAGTCAAGCCAGGAAAGGTCTCAAGCTGTGACTGTCATTTTTGCTTCTGCAACACACACATTTTATTAGTAGTACCTTCAATTATAAAGTTACACCTTATCAGAAAGGCAAATCTACCTCCCCCTCTTGATGTAAACTGTTTTCATTATTGAATAGGGTTGGGTCAAGCTGTAATATGAGAGGTTTCAGGATGTTCTAAATTTCTGTTAATGGAGGATTCTCTTTTTCTTTTTCCTTTTTGGAACTGTATTTGTGCAGATTTCCCATACCATTATTTCTTATGAGCTGGGAGAAGAATGTGCATATATTTTTAGCTGCCAAAAACTCTCTCAAGTCTTTGTTGGTGGTACAATTTTCCATTTTAAAGTGTCTTCCTATTTGTCACATTTTACTTTTCTTTGCAAATACAGTACAGTAGGGCCTTAAAAGCTTGTTCCTTGACATTCCTTGGAATGAAACCTTAGAAAGAAAAAAAACTTGACTTCATCAAGGAAAGGGCAGTGCCTTCTTGGAAGGACATATATACAAAATTAAGACATTAAACCTACAAGATGAGAAGATCAGACCCAAGCATGCCAAAGGGAGAATGAACATGCAAGGGCTGCCTGCTATGAGCACATGCTGTGTCTGGAAGAATTAATTCATTTTAAGAACTCTAGTGATATAAAAGGATGTTTAACAGTGCCCAGATGAATTAGGTGTTGCGCAAGGCAGCCTTTTAGTGATTATTTTGGAAATATAAAATGATTGAGGTCTGGTGTACAGCTGTGCTCTTCACAGCCTGACTGACACTACAACTGCTTTTGCACCTACTAGTTTAGAGAAGGACCATGACAATACTGTGCTAAACAATACAGAAGACTTGCTGAGTAACAGACCCCAGAAAACTTCAAGCAAGTTTTGAGATGACCCAGCACTCTCTTCCCTGTTTAAAAGCACTGTCATACATTTTACAGAGTGTCAGGATATTATGAGTTATTTTCAGTAAAACATTCAAAATCAGTGTTTTCGTAGGTCAAATTACCTCAAGTACCCTAAACGTTCCCCTGCAGAGAGAATCTAATGCCCGAGCTCTCGTACACAGACAGTGTTAATGCAGCCCTCTGAATTTACTCACAGGCAGAGTAAAACTTGAAGAATCAGACCTGAACATGTTATCTTTAAAACCAACAAGAATATGGCTAAATCTAAAGAAAAAAGGAAAATTTAATACTGTTACTAGCAGCATACCAAGCAGAATGCGCTGTCATCTAGAGCGTGAACCTTTGAATGATTCAGAATAATTTCAGTCCTCAGTTTAATTTCATGCATAAAGCAAGCACACACACTTGCCATCTATTAAGAGAATGCGAATTTTTGTTCCAGAGCTACTCAGACCTTGAATTCCTGGGTCCAATTTGAAAAATTAAGTCTTTAATTCAAAATTTTCCCAAATTAGGTGTTAATGATTATAATTTGGATATGAAATTCTGATTCAGGTACAACCTTGAAATTCAGATTCTGAATTCAGTTTTTACCATAAAATAAGTCTTTACCCTGAATTTGTGTTATCCTGTGCATGCACATTTTATAAATTAAAATGTATTGACTGGATGGAGATGTTCGACAAATGACATGATAGCTTTGTATCAATACCCATCTGATCAGGTTTGGGGAGGGAGCATGACCCTGACTGTCTAGTCATCTGCAATAAAGCTATACACTGTGATCCTTAAATTCAGAAACACCACAGAATGTTCCTGTTATTACTCATCTTACTGCAAGACTTGCTACAAATCTGTGCTGGTTAAAACTATGTACCAGTTACACAATTTAAAGTTACCCAATTAAGAAAAGAATTACATTAAATCAATGTCAAAGAAGGTTTGCACAGTTCCCACAGGAATTCCATTTATAGTCTAATTTTCACAATCTAAATGAAATTAATTTTGTAGTCCCAATTTAATTTTAGGTTTACAGGTCAGTTTTGGCACCTACATCTAATGTAAGTAATACATTACATGAACTTCTGATGAATTAGAGGTGCTAGGCTTAAACTGTTAATGATCAACAGCTCTCCTCACTGAACATTCAGGCCCAACGAGCACAGTGTAGGATCAGAGACTCCTGTAAAAACATCTATTAAATTTCTCTCATGATATATAGTCAAGGAGGACAGGAAGGGGAGCAACCCAAACCCTTCTGTAGTGTATTACAGCTGGAGGACAGAACGTACCACCAAAAGTGCAATTCAGGAAGGGTGGGCCCTTACACATTTTGTTCAAAATACTGCATTCTCCTTTGATCTCAAAAAACCCAGATCTAAGAGTCTGAAGGGAGAGCCTTGGATTCTTGTTTATGCTGGACCACGGGAATCAGCAGCTTTTACCACTCTTCCATTAAGTGCTTCTGAGTTTCAAAGCAACTGACCTACAAACCTGCACCTGGCCCCTCTCACTTGCTCTGGGGAGGGAGAATGGACACAAGGAGCTACTTCACACCTAATGCTCTCCCAGGCACCAACCTCACAACACAGGAGGTGCAGGATGGATATCCACATATGCAGATGGTAGATAAGAACATGAAGCAGAAAGCCATTACTGGCTGTATCCACATAAAATATGGCACAGGCACAAGAGGAGTTTTGTAGTTGCATTTTCCTTTTCATAAAAATGTGTCTCTTTTCCATGTCGATGTATTAAATATCCATGGTAACAGCAGGGGATAACCAATCGATTATATACGGCAAGTGGTGAAAACAACAGTGCAATAAATGGTGAAGAAAAGGAC